TGATGCACTGATACTCCTTAACAAGCTACAGGCGGGTCATGACCAGTCAAAGACCTGCCCTCCTCTGCTTGGTCACCGTGATCATTCCCAGTCCCTGTCACGTGATCACACAGAGCCCCAAGGAGGTGGTGTCCCACTGAAGTCAGAGGGGGGCAGATTGGGTCTTCTGTGAAAGCTTCTGGTGTGACCAGTGGGCTTTCTCTGGACTTGTGCTTGAACTTGAGAACAATTCTTATGGTACTGAAGAGACTTGTCTCAGTCATATTCTAGGAGGGTCATAAATACTACATATCTTAAAACTTTTTGTTTAAAAATTTTTTTATTTTTTTATTCCTCACCTGAGGATATTTTTCTACTTATTATCCAGTAGCGTGGGAGGGAGGGAGAGAGACAGACAGACAGACAGAGACAGAGAGAAACATCCATGTAATAGAGCCACATTGACTGGTTGCCTCCCGCACTACCTGACCAGGGCCAGGGATGAACCGCAACCAAGGTACATGCCCTTGATCAGAATCAAACCCTCAACTCATTGGTCCACGGGCCGACACTCTAACCGCTGAGCCAAACTGGCCAGGGCTGTTTTATAAGAATTCTATCTTTTTTTACTAGATTGTGATGAAAACACCATAGAAGATAGAAAGGGCAATTTACTTAACTCTTTCGGGCGGCGCTTTTTTAGTTCGTAAAAACTGAAGCCCTTGCTGTTGACCGGGCTCTGATGATAGAGCAGAAACATTAGAAGGTGCATCCGCATTCCTGGTACAGACCTGGCTATAGGTGGGAGTTTCATTCTTGGTTTAAATTATTCATCCGTGTAGAAGTGTTTAGTTGTCTGTTCTGTAAAACAGATGTGGTTTATTAATTTACCTAAAGCAATGTTTTTCTAAACAGAACCCCACCATAGTGGAAGAGGAGTTTTAGATTGGAAGCTTGTGTAGAGATGCGTGGGTTTTTGTTCTGTTTGTTTGATTGATTGTTTATTGAATTTGTTGGGGTGACATTGTTTAATTAAATTATAGATTTCAGGTGTGCAATTCTGTAATCCATTATCTGTATATTGTATTGTGTGTTCGGCAGCGAGTCGAGGCTCCTTCCATCACCGTGGTCTTTTATCAGATGGATACACGGGGCATTCATTCGCCGGAACCGGAGTGCAGGCCTCAGACTGCAGGAGAAGCGGCCTCCAGGCCACCCATACCATCCCTGCTTTCCGCCTGTGCCAGCGGACAGCGCCCTTTTTCAGTCCACTGCAGGCTCAGAACTCGAGTCTTGGCTCCTCCCCTCTCTCTTCCTGCTGGGTCATCCTTCCTTTCCTGCTCTTGTCCCCAGCTTTGCCCTCACTTTTTTGCTCTCTCTCTGACTGCTCTTGTTCTCTGCCATGTCCTGGTTTCTCCTTTCGAGTCCTCCTGTCTTGGTGAGGTGTCTTGTCAGCAGCTCACAGGACGGTGGACGCAGGGCTTCACTGCCGCTCGGCCCTCTGGGCCTCCAGCCTTGTCTTCTTCAGCTCAGTACTGACCTTCAAGGGCTACCCCTTCCCACTGCTACTCTGAGAACCCCGCCCGTGCCTGCAGTGCCCACACGCTTTCCCTGACCGCAGCGCGGCACTTCCTCCAAGGCCCAGGTTGAATACTGGCTCCAGAGTTCCTCAGGCTGATAGAGTTACTCTCCCTCCCTCCCTCCTCTTCCTTCCCTTTTCTCTGTCACCGAAGTACAAGACACATTCGGTGAGACGCAGGAAACGCACAGCTCGTGGCAGCCGACTCCAGTGCCTTCTGGATCCAGGGGCTTCCCCCAGGGGGAGCCCAGCCTCATCCAGGCCTGTCTTAGGTTTCCAGACTCTGGAAGGGTCTGAGTTGGAGGCATCGCTGACTGCCGGCTGTGCAGGGACGGGGTAGGGTTGGCAGTCCTCACCCATGAAAACTGGATGGTGAGGTGGAATGTGGCAGGGGGTTCCAGAGAAGTTCACAGTTTCAGAGATTTGTACATAGGTGTGCACCCATTTACCACTGCCCCGAAAAAGATGGAGTACATTTCTGTTCCCTCAGAAGGTTCTTTCAGGACTCTCCCCAGTCCCTGCCATTTCCTCTGGGAGTAGCCACCATTCTGACTCCAGTCACCATCTGGTGTCTTTGTTCTTCAGTTTTGATTTCTTTGACACTCGGGGGTCTGAGTAGCATAATCGCATGCCTGTTTTGGGAGGGAATTCACATGTGTTTCAGCTGTCTGGGCATCCGTCTTGACTGCCCTCATAAACCCTCACAGCAGCCCTGTGATGTGAGTGTTGCTAGCTCCATTATCTGGACAAGGGGAGCAAGGCTCCTAGAGGTGAAGGAAATTCTCCCAGAACTGTCGCTCGTGGAGGTCGGAATGAACCTCGTCCTATCTAGGGGAGCCCGTTGTAGCTGGAAAAGCCCACACGTTTCCCCGTTCATTTCCCTGCAGGGCCTCCCATGTTGGCTTCCCATTTGTTTCATGAAGCCTTAAACTGTCCTTTTTTTTTTTTAAAGAACAGTTTACGCCCTGGCTGGTTTGGCTCAGCGGTTAGAGCGTCGGCCTGCGGTCCGGAGAGACCCGGGTTCGGTTCCCGCTAAGGGCATGTACTTCGGTTGCAGTTTGTCCCCGGCCCTGGTTGGTCGTGCGGGTGGCAGCCACTCGATGTGTCCCTTCACGTCGATGTTTCTCTCTCTCTCTCTCCCTTCCTCTCTCTCCCTCCCACTCTATCTGTACAAAAAATGGAAAAATAGCCTCAGGTGACGATAAAAAAAAAAAAACAAAAAACAGTTTACTGCCCTGACCAGTTTGGCTCAGCAGTTAGAGCGTCGGCCTGCGGACCAGAGAGACCCGGGTTCGGTTCCTGCTAAGGGCACGTACTTTGGTTGCGGTTTGTCCCCAGCCTCAATGGGGGCGTGTGGGTGGCAACCACTTGATGTGTCTCTCTCACGTCGATGTTTCTTTCTCTCTCTCTTCCTCTTTCCCTCCCGCTGTATCTGAAGATAAATGCAAAAAATGTCCTCAGGTGAGGATATAAATAAATTAATTAAATAAAATTTTAAAAAAAGAGAGAACAGTTTACTGATTTCTAGAGAGAGAAAGAAAAGGAGAGGGAGAGGGAAAGAGAGACATCAATGTGAGAACGCAACATTGATCAACTGGCTGCTTCCTGCATGCCCCCCCACCGGGGATCAGGCCTGCGACTGGGACACGTGCCCTTGACCGGGAATTGAACCAGCAATTTCTTGGCACGTGGGCGGACACCTTACCAACAGAGCCGCCCAACCAACTGAGCCACACTGGCCGGGGCTAAACTGTCTTGTGTAAGCCCCTAGTGGGCAAGTGCTCATGCTTGCTGGTTCGGTCACCCATCGTACCCAGCACCTCAGTAGCAGGACGTTCGCTAGGAGGTGTCGGTGGATGAGGTCTTGCTAACTGCTCAGCTCCGTGGAGTGTGCAGATGGGTGAGGCTTGTGTGGCGTCTGGGAGGAAGCAGTGCCCCTGGGCAGCCAGCACAAACCTCCCAGGACTTGTCCAGGCCCCGGTTCGAGCCTGGATGGAGGGTGCCCGGTGAGTGGATAAAATGCCCAGGTGGCATGTTAGGAGTAGCACAGGGTCTCTAGGTGCTTCTTGCTGCCTCCTTCTGGTGCCTGTCTCATGGCAGGAATTTGGCTTTGAATGTGGGGCCTGGACCCACTCCCTGCTCTTAGGTGACCTGAGAGTTGAGCAGGCTAAAGTAATGCGGCCGCCCTGAGCACGTGGGTATTCTAATCTGAGAGTGCCTGTTAGTTGGTATCCCCAAGGACATTGCGACACCCTTGCCTCGCCTGTGTGCCGGAGGCCCTCGGGACTGGGGCTCAGCAGGAGGGAAGCAGTTGATGGGTTTGAAAAAGCTAAATTCCAGGGTCAGCCACCTGGTGCACACAAATATAGAAACATGACACAATTACAGTGGTCCATCACTCAAAATGCAAATCAGCCCAGGCTTCCCTTACTGGCGACCGAGTTTGTTGCAGTGGGAAGTATATACCCCACAAACTCCTAGTCTCAGCCTTTGGCGTTTGTAGCGGTTCAGAGATGCCTCCTTCAGTGGGGATCACTCTCCTTAATAGTTGATCCACTCGGATGTGTGTAAGGGGCACCGATCCACGGCCCCCTCCTGTGGTACAGGAAGGCTGGGGGCTCCCGGCTTCAGTTGCCCAGCTTCTGCTTGGTGAAAAACGACATTGCCCAGCGAGGGACTGGCCAGCCTTGTCGTCTGAAACTAGATCTCTCTCTGTGGTACATCTGGAACTTGGCCTTCTCAAGGGTCCCAAAATAGCCAGGCAGATGAAGAGAGCACTTTATGAGAGGACATGGAGGGACCCCAGCCGCTCCTCTCCAGGCAGGCTTTGCTGGCACTGGAAATGCAGCACATTTAATCCCTGGGTTTTGTTCTCATCCTGTGCTGCTTCTGCATCCCTTGTGTATCTCCCTTTCTCGAAGCTCATTCTGAAAATACTCCAACTCCCCCTGCCTCCCTTTCTCTGCAGAGATTTCCAGGCCGTGGCCCGTGTCTGGGCCAGCACAACTCTGGTTGTGAGGAAGCGGGAGGACCTTTGAGGACGCAGAGAGGCTGTCTATAAGTTAGCGAATTGGAATTGAATCCCCCTTACACCTCCTGATCTGGGTCCCTGAAGATTCGGGAGACAATCGGTGGCTCTCCCACATACGGTGCCGCTTGGATGTCGCCTGGAAAAGGAACCTCTCTTCCCAGCGTGGGAAATGGAGGCCTCTCTTGTGCTCAGCAAATACCTTGGTTCATCTGATTTCCCTTGATGCCTCTAATTCTCAAACTGCTGGCCAGATAGCAGCCTCTGTAGGGAAGGGGGTCTGGCAGAAGTTGGGGGTAGCTGGGGGCCCAGGATCACTCTGGAAAACGGGAGTGCTCAGCACGGTGCTTTTTCCTCTTCAGAGGTGTTTCCTTCCCAGTTGCTAACCTGTCTGTGTTTCTCTTTTTATTTTAGGAAACTCCGTCCTCTGCAAATGGCCCTTCCCGGGAGAGCTCCAGGCTGCTTCCCATTAGGGAAGGGCACATTGTGTACCCCCAGCTCCGACCAGGCTACATTCCCATCCCTGTCCTCCACGAAGGCGCCGAGGGCCGGCAGCCGTACGCCTTCTTCGCCTCTCCTCAGCCTGGGACGCAGCGATTCCGAGCCGAGGCAGCCACATCGGCTCCTCAGAGGTCCCAGTCACCTCTGCAGGGTGTGGCAGAAACCGCCCAGCCAGATAAACAGTGTGGACAGGCGGTAGCAGCTGTGGCAGCCCAGCCCGCAGCCTCCCACAGACCTGAGGTAAGGAGAGGCCTGGCCCTTGGGCTTGGGAGTGCGAGCTGGGAGCTCTGGTGCTGCCTAGGCCGGCCCAGACTCTGCCAGTGTCCTGGGCCTGGCACCTGATAAAATGCAGGGCATCTGGGCCTGGCCTAGCATCGCGGGGCACCCAGCAAAGCCAGCTTGACAGCCCCACATTAGCCACCAGCGTTTCACAGGTGGATTTTGCAGGTGGGCAGGGATCATGGCTTGTTTTTGTAATTAAGGGATTGCAGCTCCGAAGGGTAAAGAGCTGGTCCAGATGCACGAAGGGGAAGCGTCTGGCTCCTAATCTGATCCTTACTTTCTCCAGCCTTTCTGGTTCAGAAACACAGAGGTACTGTTTGTTAGTTTGTTATGTTCATTGTTTACGGAGAAGTAGTAACTGCTTGGAGTGATATTGATGTAAAAACGAGACAGCATAGTTGCCCTCACAGTGTACCACAGTTTAAACAGAAATTCAAAATAGGAAGGCAGTTGTTTTATGGTAGAGTTTTAAGCCTGAAGGCAATACTTCAACGCACAAATCTCTAAAGAGATTCTTAATCCAGTTCTTAGCCGAAATTTGCGAGCCAGTAGGCTCCAGTAGGGTTCCTGAGTGGTGAGCCCTCCGGGTTTTCCTGTCTGCACGCCAGCGTGTGCCCGCTGGCACAGTTCTTGAGCACAGATTCTTTCTCCCTGTCTGCACCCAGGGTTCGGATCGCCTCTCTCGGCTCTGTTTGAGATGTTTGACTTCACTGTCTGCTTGGGGCTAAAAGGTCATCGCATGGAATATCAGGAGGCTTTTTGCATTTCTTGGAGAAGCAGTACCTATACTTGTAATGTTTCACTATAAAAATCAAAAGTGACACATCAGTCAGAGAAATCGTAATAAATTTGAGCTAGCAGGACCCTTAGAAGCCAGCTGGAGAAACACCCTCCTGATTTTCTAGGTGAATAGGAGGGAAAGGGCCTGGTCTGCCTTAGGCCACACAGGGGACAAAGCTCCCTGTGTCCAGCTGAGTTTTCTGTGGATTAGCAGGCAAAGGGTTAAGGAAAAAGGATATGAAGTGACATGTAATAAATACAGTGTATTGACCACTTCTTATTTGTGTCACTTTTGCTAAAGCGTATACCCAGATTGTTCTGCTTGCTCTTCAGGCCAGCCCACTGAGGGACAGGGTGCCCTTTTCAATATTGCAGACGAGGCTCAGAAAGCTATTGAGCTGGTAAGAATGTGAACCCAGGCCTCTTGACTGCAGAGCTCCCAGTCCAAACACCACAGTTTGAAAACAAAGGCTTATAGATGGGAGGTCCTGTTAAACCTCTTGCCCTGAGCAGGCACATAACGGAGGCGGGGTTGGAGTGCTAGGCAGAGGGTCCTTCACGGGGCCACACCTCTACTCTTGGTGTCTTGCAGCGATCCCAGTCTCCAGCCACCTCGGACTGCTCATCCTCATCCTCCTCTGCCAGCCTGCCCTCCTCCTCCAGCAGGAGCAGCCTGGGAAGTCACCAGCTCCCCCGGGGCTACATCCCCATCCCTGTGATACACGAGCAGAATGTCACCCGGCCGGCAGCCCAGCCCTCCTTCCACCAAGCCCAGAAGACCCACTACCCAGCTCAGCAGGGTGAATACCAGACCCACCAGCCTGTGTACCACAACATCCAGGGGGCTGACCGGCCCATGCGGGCAGCATCGCCATTCCGGTCACCTGTCAGGGGTGCGTCCAGCCGGGACAGCTCTCCAGCGAGAAGCAGCACGCCAGTGCACTCTGCGCCACCCCTGCGTGTGCACACTGTGGTTGACAGGCCTCAGGTATGAGAGTTGGTATCGCCAGACTGGCTATGGCAGCATCTCCTCAGGGTCAAGGAGCTCTGTTTAAGTTCTCTGGGTCCCCCATCAGCCCTCCCTGGATTACACAGGAATGACTGGGGGAAATTGAGATCCTGGAAATGGCTGATCATCAACGGAAATGCAGGACCAGGCTGGCTGTAAACCCTCAGAACTTTCTCCAGCTTTTGTTCTTTTTTCAGTGCAGCTGCCTTAGGGGTAGGCTCCAGCCACCACGCTGGGAAACAGCTGGGCCGAATGCAGCATCACTCACTCACCTAGGGCCCGGGTGTCAGTGCCCACCTTTCAGGGCCCTTCAAAACCCCTCCACCCCAGCTGCAGCCTTGTCTCTCTCCTCCCCGATGCCTCTGCACTCTGCAAGCCCATTCTGTGATTCCCACGTTCGTGCCTTTGCTCAGGCTGAACCCACTCCCTGAAGGGTGTTTACAGTCCACGTTCTCCCATCCTGCAAGGGACAGCCAGTCTTGCCTCTGTGAAGCCCACTCACCTTTTCCACGGTGCTTCATGAGTCCCTTACAGTTCAGCATGCAATTATTCTGTGCATTTCCAAAGTGTTCATTTTTATCTCTTCGGCTCAGCTCTGAGCTTGACAACAGGGACCATACCTTTTACTTTTCTCCTCCCCTTCAGCAGAGGACCATATGCCTGGCTGTCTGGGTGAGTGGGACTGCCTTCTGGTCTGGTCAGAGTCCCTGGCGTGGGCATTGTCGTTCTTCAGTGGAGACGTGGGCTTGGCTTCCTAGAGGCGGTCCTCCAGCTTGAGCAGTTTGTGGCTCAGCAGCAGAGCAGTCAGCAGCCCTAGGCCCCGTCCGGCTGCAATTTGAACAGCTGAATTAATTCTCTGTCCCAGTTTTCAGAAGAAAGTCCCCCTGTAAACAAATGCAGATTATCTTTCTGCTACAAATAGTGACACTGTAACAAAGCATCCTTCTCTTACTATTTTTTCAGCTTTTTTTGTTTGTAAATTAATTTCAGCCTTACAGAGGAGTTTATAAGAATCATACAAAAACAATCCAGTATACCCTTCACTCACATCCACTGTTAACATTTTGCTATTTGCTTTTGTCATTTCTTGTCTCTCTCTCTCTATCATCTATGTATTTCAGTTGTTTGAGATACAGTTGTAGATATTATGCCCTCTTACCCCTAACTACTTCAGTAAATATTTTTCTAAGTGAAAGACCTTCTCTTCATAACCACAGTAGAATGATCAGATTCAGGAAACTTAACATCCTTACAACATTGTTATCTAATGCACAGTCTATTTTTTAAATCTCCTTTATTGCAATTTCTCATTCCAGGATCTAATCTAGAGGTCATTTCTCTTTAGTCTCCAACAATCCAGAACAGTTCCTCGGCAGCCTTTCTTTGCTTTCATGACCTTGACCCTTTTGAAGAGTATAGCCATAAAGCAACTCCCTCTTAAGTGTTTGTTTTTTAATATGTTGTTTTTTTTTCTTTTCAGAGAGAGAGATAGAAACATTGATCAGAGAGAAACATCTATCGGCTGCCTCCTGCACAGCCCCGTCCTGGGGATCGAGGCCGAAACCCGGGCATGTGCCCTGACCGCGAATTGAACCAGGACCTCTCAGTCCATGGGCCGACGCTCAATCCACTGAGCCACACTGGCTGGGCTCTTAACTGTTTCTAAAATCACTTCTTACTAAGCCGTTGTTTTAAAACCCAAAAAGGGGCATGTGGCTGGTTCATGAGTGGTAAGGGCCAAAGTTGAGGACCTCTCTGTTGACAGAAGAGGTTTGGTGGAAAAGGAGGTTGCTGGCATTCAGACAGCGAAGCGTCCACCGCATTCTTGCTTGGTCTCAGTAATCCTAGGAGAGAAATGCCCATTGGCAGAACTAGAGCTTTTTCCCCTCATGTCTTTTCCAAATGTTTCCCATAAATGATCAAATAATAGTCCTATTTCCACTTCCCTTAACCTTGTTTGTGATGACCTTCCTTTTATAACTTATTCAAAGATCCCTTTTTCGAGGCTTGCAAAGATTTAAGCCAACTGAACATTATAGTGGAATTTAGTATTTATTTATTTATTCAGCTTTAGTGCAAGAACATTTATTTTATTTTTTTATCCTCACCCGAGGACATTTTTGCATTTATCTTCAGATAGAGTGGGAGGGAGAGAGGGAAAAAGAGAGAGAGAAAAAAACATCGATGTGAGAGAGATACATTGACTGGTTGACACCCACACAACCCCAACTGGAGCCAGGGATGAACCGAAACTGAGGGGCATGCCCTTAGTGGGAACTGAACCCGGGACTCTGGTCTGCGGGCCGATGCTCTAACTGCTGAACCAAACTGACCAGGGCGCAAGAACATTTATTAAGTGTGCTTTTAATAATAGAAGGAGGATAAGAAGTTGTAATTAGGATAAGATTTGGAAAACATCGAGGAAGTTCAGATTATGATAAGAAAAGGTCATCCAGACCCTTCAAGGTGCTGTCTTGGGTCTTCTCCGCCCTTGCCTCCTTCATTTCCCCTTTGTGTACTCCAAGCACTTTCAGTGATGGACACCCTCTCTGGCTCTGAACTTGGATACCTGCTGCCTTGTTAGCTAACAGTACCATTAAGTATATTAACGACTCCTAGCGGATTCATCATAGTGCTGGGATACCCTCGGTGGCGGCTTCCTTTCTTGCAGCAGCTCTGGATCCCAGGCACACACACCTCCTCCCCTGTCCTGCCACAGAGCCCGCACGGCTCTCACATGGTTTTCACACCACTCTGGCAATTCGTAAACTTTTCCAGTTTTGGGTGTTTTTTTGTTTTTAACTTTTTTTCCCTTTATTGATTTTAGTGAGAGGGAGAGAGAGAAACATCGATGAGAGAGAACATCGATTGGCCGCCTCCTGCATGCCCCCCACTGGGGATCGGGCCCACAACCCGGGCATGTGTCCTGACCAGGAATCGAACCGGCGACCTCTTGGTGCATGGATCGACACTCAGCTACTGAGCCACAGCAGCCAGACTAAATTTCTCGTTTTTATTAGCTAGCTCATTCATCTGGCCAGTGACCACACTGCTTCTAGTTTGCCTCCTTCTGTCCTCTGTCACTCACATTGCCCTCCTGTAACAAAGAGGCCACAGTCAAGATTGTCTTAAACTTTATTTCATAAATTAAAGGCTTTTTTACTTCTAAATCTCATTTGCACCCACTTTTCTACTTTTCCCTCCCTTTCTTCACTGTACTTTTGCCTAATCCTAACCCTCCCACTGTCTCATGGAGACCCACACCCCCAGCCTAAAGCTCCCTTCCACTAGACGTTTCTGGAATTTAGTATTTTAAATTGGGAATACTTTACAAATAATATAGTTTGATTCTTATTTCCCAGTTGATGAAATTGGGGTATGAGATTTTCAAGGGTTTTTAGATATTCACCTGAATGTAGAAGAGCCAAGACATTTGGCTGTAAGCATAACCCATTAAGAAAAACGCTCCAGCCCTGGCCAGTTTGGCTCAGTGTTAGAGCGTCGGCCTGCGGACCAGAGAGACCCGGGTTCGGTTCCCGTTAAGGGCATGTACCTCGGTTGCAGTTTGTCCCCGGCCCTGGTTGGGGTCGTGTGGGTGGCAGCCAGTCAATGTGTCTCTCTCACATTGATGTTTCTCTCTCTCTCTTCCTCCCTCTCTCTCTCCTGCCTATCTGAAAATAAAGGCAAAAATGTCCTCAGATGAGGATAAAAAAAAGAAAAAAGAAAAACGCTCCAACTCCCAGAAGCCAGTGCAGAGATGCACAGCTGAGTGGTAGCTCTGGTACTAATGTGCTCAGAAAAATTCTTACAGCGTTTACTGTTCTGGGCAGAAACTACTAGGCTGCCATAGGTTCAGGGAAAACAAAAAAGAAATGACAACTTTTCGGAAATGGGACATGGGAAGGTCACACCCTGAACAGAGACTATCCACACAGCGTAAGGAAGGGACAAGTGACCATTATCCCTCCACAGCTGTGTCACCGAGAGTCTGAGTCACCAGGACTTTGCTTTGAGCTAAACTAGCTCAGCAGTCAGCAAGAGGTTTTAGTATTTTCATTTCCCAAAATTATCTTGGTTTTCTTTCTATTACCCTAAGAATGCCATCTACAGAAAAATCCAGGGAGCGGTAATAGACTCGTCAATAGACCAAGATAATGAATGGAAGCATGATAAATGATTTGGTCACACTTGTGATTAGTAATAGCTGGTATTGACTTTGAAAATCTCTGTACTGTTTTTTTTTTATCCTCACCCGAGGACATTTTTCCATTTGTTCAGGTAGAGTGGGAGGGAGAGAGAGGAACAGAGAGAGAGAGAGAAACATCGATGTGAAAGGAACACATCGAGTGGCTGCCACCCGCACAACCGACCAGGGCCGGGGACAAACTGCAACCGAGGTACGTGCCCTTAGCGGGAACCGAACCCGGGTCTCTCTGGACCGCAGGCGGACGCTCTAACCGCTGAGCCAAACAGGCCAGGGCGAAAATCTCTGTAATGTTAAACTTAAAGCCATTTCCCAGTTTTCTTTCCAATCAGTATTGTACTAGCTACAAACATCCTATAACTCTCAGCCAGTTATTAAAAATATCTTTGTGTCCTTGCCTCTTCTCAGCAGCCCATGACCCATCGAGAATCTTCATTTGTTCCCCAACCTGAAAAGCAACCAGAAAGCAAACCAGGCCCAGTTGGATCAGATCTCCCTCCGGCACACATCCCAATTCAAGTGATCCAAAAGGAGGTGGATTCTCAACCCGTTCCTCAGAAGCCCCCACCCCCTTCTGAGAAGGTGGAAGTAAAGCTTCCTTCTGCGCCAGTTCCCAGCCCCGCCCCTTCTGCTGTCCCCTCGCCCCCCAAGAATGCAGCTGCAGAAGAGAGGGCAGCCCCTAGCCCTGCCCCGGCAGAAGCCATGCCCCCAAAGTCTGGAGAAGCTGGGGCACCGCCAAAACATCCAGGTGTGCTGAAAGTGGAAGCCATCCTGGAGAAGGTGCAAGGGCTGGAGCAGGCTGTGGACAACTTTGAAGGTAAGAAGACGGACAAAAAGTACCTGATGATAGAAGAGTATTTGACCAAAGAGCTTCTGGCTCTGGATTCGGTAGACCCTGAAGGACGAGCTGATGTCCGTCAGGCCAGGAAAGATGGAGTCAGGAAGGTTCAGACCATCCTGGAAAAACTTGAACAGAAAGCAATAGATGTCCCAGGGCAAGTCCAGGTTTATGAACTGCAGCCCAGCTCCCTTGAAAGCGATCAGCCACTGCAGGAAATCATGGGTGCCATGGCAGCAGACAAGAGTAAGAAAGGTGTTGGAAATGGGGAAGATCCCAAAACGGAAACCCAGCAGCCAGATGCCAAAGCAGCAGCCACTCCAAACCCCGGCAGCACAACCGACACAGCTGGTGACCCAGCCGCACCATAGTCTCAATAAAAATCCGACTCAGACTGGGAACTGATTGTGTGCGTTAGGGAATTGTAAGTTGCATGCATTTCAGGGACTTTAAATCAGTTGATTTTTACTATTCATAGCCACTTGGTACGCAGTAACTTGGGTAGAGGCAAAACAGTAAAAGGGCTCAAAGGAAAATGATGCTTTTCTTCAGTATTCTTATGCTGTACAATAAAGAAGTTGCTTGTGTCAAAAGTTTAACATTGCTTGTTGTTTCGGGGCCCTCTCTGCAGGGGCACCACATGTTAGCCATAGTTGTGAGCTGTCTTCCTGTAGCTCTGGACTGGAGGAGTCTTTTGGGAATAGATGGGGAGTCAATTTCCCATCACAGATATGAAACCCATTTTTCAGAAATGTTGCCATTTTAGTGGGATGATTTTCTTCATCTCAAAGGTAAAATACCTAACTTTAGATAGAGTAAAATGTATAAGGAGCCATAGGAATATCTGTATGTTGGATGACTTTAATGTTACATTTAAAAAAAGGAAAATAAAGTAATAATATGACTCAGCGTTTTTTGTGGTTTGTAAAGCTTTGAAGAGAGTGACATCATCAAGATGGTCTCTTGCCGGCTTCAGTAAAAATAAATGGCAGACGCATTTACAAGCTTGCTCTGGGATTCTTACCATCTCTGCTGGCCCAGCTCATGAGAAAATGAGTCTCGGTCATTTTTCAGTCTGCATCCTGGGCAGACTCAGGGCTGTGAACTCAGGAAATGGAGATGTGTGTACCACACCTCTTCAGACTGCCCCAGCCAAGGTGCCACTTGGGCAGCGTCTCTGCCCACCTGGCCTTAGGCCATCGGCAGGTCTCACCAAGTTGCGCAGACATCAGTTCCCAGTATTGTCCCAGGCTGGCCAGAGTTCCTTGGAGTTCAGGTCATGGGTTGGGAACATGTTCTCTGAGAGTCTTGGGTCATCTTTATCCGAAACTTCTCTGAGTCACCAAACCAGTTCAGAACCAGGTTTGTCTTCCCAGACTGGGTTCCTAGAAGCCACTGGGGTTAGGGGTCAGATGTGCTTTGAAGCCACTAGCTGGGAAGATCCTTTCTTCTGTGCCAATGTCTTCTAAGAGTTGGGAAGGACCTCAGCGCCTGAATGTGGACATATGCTACTTTTTTTTTTTTTTCTTAACTGCTTACCCAAGTAAACCTTAAAATGAAAAAGAAAAGAAAGATGGGCCTGAGATCTTGGAACTCCTGGGGAGCACCCTGACTTAAGAGCCCCAAGCTGAATTCCTCATGACTGTATTAATATTGGTGCCTGCCTGACAAAGCCACACCAAAATACACACTAGTATACTTGCCACTCTTAGCTTGCTGAGCAAGGTTGGAGTTATTTCCAGGGGAACTTGCCAACATCATTCCTGGGTGAACTCATTTGGGGAGTACAAGCCAACTGCTAAAGACACGCTACTGATTCCAAAACTGCAACCATGTAAATAGGGGCGGGGGAGCCTATTGGACTATTTCTAAAATGAATCAAAGAAAAGAAGGTGACCATTTTTGTGACTTGGGCATCTATTCTCACTGGACCTCAGCATTAAGGCTTCCTGAATGCTTACTGAATTAGGTTGATGTTATTTTTATCACTAAACATCAGTAGGTAGCCCTTTAATATAGTTAGAATAGATGGTATGTGGATGTCAGGACTGGAATTAATCTGACCCATGTGGGTTCTTGGGCTTTGTTTGCATGGAGGCAACAGGCTGGGCATAGAGCTGGCTGCAAGGCTCTTACTAACAGAACTGTCTTTTCCCCTGTAAAAGTCAGGGGACTGATACTGAAGATCTGCCTAGCGTTAAGGGATTTTGGATTTTTTAATCCTCCCAATGCCCTTTAAGAGAACTTGGTTTGGAACACATGCCTAAGTCAGGACTGGATTCAAGTCATAGCTTCATGTAACAGTGCTAGGACAATGGAAAAGTTACATGGGCTTTTTCCTTCCTGGTTTCTTCAGTTGTAAAGTTGGGGGGGGGGATGATTGAATTAAGACAAGTGAAGCTGACAGTATTGCCTGTCACATGACAAACATTAGCTATTAACATCCTTGTGTATTGGGTGAGGAAACAGGAAGTGATGTGCTCACACCCACTGAGACAGGATTGGAATCCAGGTCCACAAGACATCAAAGGCCGCATTAGTCTCACCATCTTTTTTTTTACCCCTTTATTTATTTTAGAGAGAGAGTAAAGGAGAGGGAGAGAGAGAGAGAGAAACATCAATGAACGAGAACATCGATTGGCCGCCTCTAGCATGCCCCCCACAGGGGATCAGGCCCACAACCTGGACATATGTCCTGACGCCTGACCGGGAATCAAATGGGCGACCCCTTGGTGCATGGGTCAACACTCAACCACTGAGCCACACTGGCCGGACTTACCATCTTCTTTAGCACCAACTGGGCTGTGGTGGCCAAGAGGGAAAGGGCTATCTAAGAACCTCTCACCTCTTCCAAGGTCAGGGCATTTGTTTTATATAATGTGTCCAAATCCCGTGAGATTATCCCTGTCTCCCACATAAAACAAGTGACTTGGAACTAGTAAGTAATGGTGTCTGTATTAAAAGTCACTTGCAGCCTTTCTGCTGGCAGCCCAAGCCTTTCTTAGAGCACCTCTCCTTTGTCCCTCGGTGTCCACATCTGTCCTCCTGCCCCTCCCCACCTTGATGTTTGCGCTTGCACTCCGCCCCCCTTCCAGACCTGGCCCACCTTTTTGTGAAACCTCCCCTACTTGGACAGTACCATCCTCAGACTAGGCTTTCTCAAAACTCCCACCAGCCTTCGGTCTACTTGCCAGCCCAACTGTTTTCCAGTTTTAATCTTAGTCACTTCCTAGGTAACAGTGGAAACCCCCAAGGGCAGGTCCACTCTGACACCTTATTCCCGTACTGTCCAGACCTGGCACACGGGCGCCCTGGATGGCCAGCAGGCCCTTAACGTTCCTTTGACCTAAGGTCTTAATGATTCCAAAGCTAAGTTAACATTTATCCAGAAACAAATATCAGTATCAGTTGACAAGACTTTAGGACCAACCCTCCCACCAACTTTCTCTTGTAATACTCCGATGTGTAAGTTTGGGCAAGTTGTTTGCTCTCTCTGGGCATTTTCTCCCCATCTATGACAGGCGGGCGTTGACCCTGGCCCCTTGAGGTAGGGAAGATTCTGGTGAGTCCGAACTTCTTTGTGGTCTCTGTGCTCTTCCTCAGTTCCCAGCCCAGCCGTGCAGCATGGTGTCCATTCTAGGCGGTGCGTTCCTGCAACTCCCATGTGAGCGTGGCCACTTTGCCCACTGTTCTGTAACATTATACAAATGCAATCATACGCCAAGGGACAGGATCCAGGGTTGCAGTTATTTTGGGATGTGTAGGAGCCTGTGGGAAAATGCTGGAACATGTCTGAGTCACTCAGGCAAATACCTTTCTTTTCGTGTTTCAGCATGTTTTGAACTCTGAGGTGGCACCAAAAAAAAAGCCCAAGCAGCCCTGGCCGGTTTGGCTCAGCGTTTAGCGCGTCGGCCCACGGACCAATGAGTCTCGGGTTCAATTCCGGTCAAGGGCACGGACCTCGGTTGTGATTCGTCTCCGGCCCTGATTGGGGTCGTTTGAGAGGCAAGATGTGTCCCTCTCAGGTCGATGTTTCTCTCTCCCTCTCTCTCCCTCCCACTCTATCTGACCAAAAATGGAAAAATAACCTCGGGTGAGGATTAAAAAACAAAGAAGAAAAAAAAAGCCCCAGCAGGCGCACACGCCCTGTGCTTCAGCGTGCCCTTCCTGGGTGGCACGCCACATCCTGTGAGCTCTGGGGGGCAGGGGCAGGGCTGGATTAATCCCTTGGAGGCCCTAAGCATGGAGAAAATCGTGGTTCCTGCCCCCATATGTAAAATGAAAACACTAGTGCGTCACAAAAGCAGCGTAGCGATGATCTGAATTTGCCATGTTATGTGTACCCTGTTGCTGTTGACGAATGGAACATTGAATTCTTCCAGTTGCGGTGTGTGCGCCTGGATGTGCCCCTGCTTTCCCGGGGCTCAAGCTGCCTGTTGACCAGCACTGCCCGCTGGGAAGCAGTGGAGGCCGGGAAGAGCTGCTTCGGTCCCTGGGGACAGTGCTGAGCAGGGTGAGGAGGGGCCAGGACCAGAGGAGGGAGCAGGAAGAGCCAGCCGTGCCATTGCACCCAGTGGAAGGGAGTGGGAGGCAGCCCGGGTCACTGGCACAGATCCTCCCCAGACTTGGAGCCCAGAACAATGGGGGCAGAGTTCCAGGTGCAACTGGCAGCCAGGCTGAAGGAGGTGAGGAGGGGATTGGAAAAAGTAGCCCAGGTAGAAGAGGCCTTTTCTAGAATACTCTCTTTCCTGTCATTGTCTGCTCCAGCCAGAGCTTTGCCCCAGGTCCTGGGTTGCCCACATGGAGGCCATGCTTTCTCCACAGCCCTGTTGCTGAAGAAGTTCTTCCCTTGTCCAAAGAGAAATCTCTCCTCTGGCCCCCTCCCTTGCTCCTTTCCCCTTCATTTCTCTCTCTTTTTTTTTTTTTTTATCCTCACCCGAGGACATTTTTCCATTTTTTTGTTCAGGTAGAGTGGGAGGGAGAGAGAGGAACAGAGAGAGAGAGAGAAACATCGATGTGAAAGGAACACATCGAGTGGCTGCCACCCGCACGACCAACCAGGGCCGGGGACAAACTGCAACCGAGGTATGTGCCCTTAGCGGGAACCGAACCCGGGTCTCTCAGGACCGCAGGTCGACGCTCTAACCGCTGAGCCAAACTGGCCAGGGCTCCCCTTCATTTCTCTTAACTGGCTCCTTCCTTCTCCTTCGCCTACAAAAGTACTGACCAAAAAGAAACCTTTCTTGCTTGCTCCTCAGTTTACCACTTTTATTATCAAATATCTTGAAAGAGCCAGCTGCAGTCACCCTCTGACGTCCCGTGCAGCGACTCTCGCTGCAATCCACCCCACTCCGTCATGGCAGGATTTTCCCATCACAACTCCTCCCATCACAACTGCCCAGCTCACCCTCCTCCCCACCTACTCGGAAACCGTGAGGTCTCCTGTCTCCCTTCCTCAACCTTTGGCTCTTATCCCTGCGTGACTTAGTTTTATGTGTCAACGTGGCTAGGTGATAGTACCCAGCTACTCAATCAAACCCTAGTCTGTGTTGCCGTGGAGGTATTTTGGAGACGTGGTTAACATCTACAACCAGTTGACTTTAAATAAGACATGACCCTCTGTAACGTGGGTGGGTTTCATACAACCAGTTGAAGGCCTTAAGAGCAAAACAGGTTTCTCAGCAAAGAAGACATTCTGCCTCAAGACTGCAGCATCAGCTCCTGCCTGAGCCTCCAGCCCACTGGCCTGACCTACAGATTTCCAACTTGCCTGTCCCCATAATTGGGTGAGCTAATTCCTTAAATCTCTCAAACGTGCATGCACGCGTGCGTGTGCGCGCACACACACACACACACACACACACACAGGTTTCTCTGGAGAACCCTGACTGATACAAACTGTTTACACT